GGCACTGGGCGCCGAGTCTAGCCCCAGCCGCCGCACCCGGGTTATCCTGTTCCCTTTCTGGGCCTCAGCGTCTTTTTCTGTAAAGCATCCTGACACTGCGCACTCCCCGCCCCAGACCCCTCCTCTGAATGGATACTTACCTTCCCCCACCTGACTGGGCTGTTACTGCAGGCCAACATCGTCTCACTTAATCCACTCCGTTTTTTACACGAGGAAACAGGCTCGTAGGTGAAATGACCTCCCCAAGGTCCCAGAGCCAAAGGTCAGAGCCAAGACTAGAACCCAGGCCTGTGTGACTTCGAAGCTCTTCCTCTTAACCACTTAGGGGTCATGCTTCCTCTCCCGAAGGAGTGAATGAATCATTCAGGAGGTATTTATGACGCCCCCGCGGACCGAGCGCGCGGTGCCAGGTGTGGGCGATCCTCCATCTCCCGGGAACAGCTCCCACCTGCCCTCGCAGTCTGATGGGGAGGCACTCACACATTCAGAGGGGCTAGGCTCTGCGTGGGACCGTGCCACCTGCCATGGGCACAGTAACCAGGAGAGCGGGCTTGGTGGGCACCTGAGGAGGCCTCCTGAGGACTTGGGGTGGGGAAGCGGGGTGAGGACCGCAGGAGGGGAGCGCCGGTGCAGAGGTAGCAGTGGTCCTGGACCATGAACCCTCCAGGCCTCTGGGGCTGCCCTCTCGGGAGGGCTGGGTCTGTGCTGGCTTTGTGGGGAGGGGCTTCCTTGATCTAAAAGGCCGTGCCCAGGGGAGCCATTAATGCAGTTCCACTCTCACCCACAGGGGGCGCCCTTGTTTTCCGTTCATTTTCTGGACCTGGAAGAGGAAGAGAAAGTGAGTAATTATACCCTTTAGGCCCGAAGTGGTTCTCAACCTTCTGGCCCTTTAAATGCAGTTCCTCATGTTGTGACCCAACCATAAAATTATTTTCATTGCTACTTCATAACTGTGATGTTGCTACTGTTATGAATCGTGATGTAAATATCTGATATGCAGGATGGCCTTAGGCGACCTCTGTGAAAGGGTCGTTCGACCGCCAAAGGGGTCACGACCCACAGGTTGAGAACCGCTGCAAAGTTTAGAGGGAGAGGCTGGGCACTGGGTCATGGGCTTTCTCTGCCATTGCTCATTGAACTTACTCTTCACAGTCACATGCAGTTAGGTATGACTGAGCCCATTTTCCACACAAGGACACCTGGCTGAGGAACCGGTTTGGGAAGGAGTGGTGTTAGACACGCCGTCCTCACCTAAAAGGACACACTCTGATTCGGGCTTCCTCTGGAGCAGCAAAGAGGTGAAGTTGAAGCTGGTCTGGCTCTGGGGTCAGCCTCCCAGGCTGAGTGTGAAGGGAGATCTTGTCAAGTTCAGGTTTAAAAAACCCTTCAATGAACAGAAAAGCATGCACACGTGCACCAAAGACAGGGCCTAGCAACAGGCAGGTGTGAAATGCATTGTAGCATAGTCACGTGGCATACCACTTGGCGATGGGGAAACAAGACTACCGCGGCCCACAACAAGGTGGATGAATTTCGCTTGTCATGTTGAGCGAAAGAAGCCAGACACAAAAACACACATTGCATGATTCTGTTGACAGGAAGTTCAAAAAAAACCAGGCAAAACTACTCGCTATTGTTACCAGTCAGGATGGGCATTACCCGTGGGTGGCGACTGGAAGGGGCCTGCGGGAGCTCTGGGGTGCGGCTCATGTCCCGGCTTTGACCTCCGTGCTGGTCCCTGGGTGTGGTCACTTTGTGAAAATGTCTGATCTTGCACAGTTATGATTTGTGTACTTTTCTGTGTGTGTGATTCCCTTCAATACAACTTACAGCCCTGGCCGGGCAGCTTGGTTCGTTAGAGCGCCGTCCTGATAAACCAAGGTTGCAGTCCCCAGTCAGGGCACATGCAAGAATCAACCAATGACTGCGTCACAAGTGGAACAACAAATCGGTGTTTCTCCTCTCTCTCTTTCTCCCCCCACCCCCCATTATCCCTTACTCTCGCTCTGTAAATCAATCAATAAAAAATTTACAACTTAGAAAAACAAAAACTTCGTACGGCTGCCCACCGCACCAGAATAGCAGCCGAACTCCTTCTATGGCCCTGTTGGCCGCCCTGACCTGTCATGCCACCCTCCTCCTCACTCACCCACCTGCCACCTCCGACCTCCTGGTGTTCCTGACACCTGCCAAGCCATTTTCCACCTCAGGGACTCTCACTTGCTGGTCCCTCTGCCTGGAAAGCCTTTTCTCTCTTCTCGCCAAGACTGCTTCCCCCATCTTCTGTGTGTCACCCTGAGGAAACCACGTCTTTAGAGCGACCCTCCTGACTACCCACCAGCCACAGTCCGCCGTGGCTTATTTGTTTACAGCTCATTTTCTGCATCTACCACTGGACTAATTATCACAAACCCGAGGGACGTTTGCTGTGTGCCAGGCGCTCTTCTAGCAGGTGTCAAGGCATTGAATCCTCGACCCCCCTGGGGAGGTGCTATTCTGAGTCCTATTTTATAATTAAGGCAATTGGGGCTCAGAAAGGTTATATAACTTGCTTGTGGCCACAGAGCTGGGAAGTAGCAGAGCCAGGAATTGAATCCATACATCTCGGCTTCAGAATCCCTTCCTTCAATTCTACACCTGGACAGATCTTGTCTCTCTTCTTCGCTGTGGTATATCTGGGACAGTGTTTGTGGTGTGAATGAATGAATGGATGGTGAATAAAGTGCTAGTGGGAAGTGGGGGGAAGCTTGGGTCTGAGAGTGGGTGTTGAGGAGAGGGGGTAGGCTCTGGTGTCTGGAGTCCCAATCACAAGGGAAGCAGGGACCTGAGAGCAGATGGACCTCATTGCAGCTGTGCTCAAGGCCAAGGCCTTACCCATGTCTGCTGCTCTCCAAATTTCTCTCTGCCTATCCCCAAACCCTTTCCTGAGCTCTCTGCTCAGCCTTTCCTGCCCCTGCCCTTGCCCTGCCTTCTTGTGAATATGTTGTTTCTCTCCAGCTATGAGCTCTCTGGCCCTCCCAGGGTAGTCCAGTCAGGCCAACCTCACCTCTCCAACCCCCTTCCTCCCACTCCCACCCCCACCCCCGAGATCCGGAGCCCTCCTTGCCAGCCAGGGAGGAAGGAGCGACAAGACACTGCTGGTCACACAGGGAGAGACTTTATAAAGATCAAAACACCAGACACACAAAGGGATTCTAGCCATGAAAGCTACAGCAGCCGGCACCTGTCGGCATCTTCACACACTCTTTATATTCATCATCTCCTCTGAACCTCTAGGTTGAGAAACCAAGTTCAAGAACGCTGCAGTTGCCGGCCACGTGAGCCCCCAAGACCTGGCCCCAAATCCCGAGCCCTCTCTCTCCAAGGAGCCCCGCAGCCTCCCTTTGTTCTTGATTGAGGCTCCCACCATCCCATGACTTAGGGCCCCCACCTTGCCTGACCGTCCCCACCCCGGTAAGGAGGTGGCCCCTTGAGTAGCTGTCATCAGCACAGCTCCTTGGAGAGTTGCCCTCTGGGATGCGGAGAGCATGAGGCTGTGGGCCCAGGACCCAGGATGGGCGAGTGCTGATGGGGCAGCCGAGGAAGGCCCGGAGGGGAAATGCTGCCCCGGTGGCAGGAACTAGTTCTCCCAGCACCAGCCTCAGCCTGTCTGCTTCCCTGTGGCAACTCCCCACCCCAGGGACCATCGGTCTCGGCACCGCGAGACACCTGGGCTGCCTTCTTCACCTGCAACTAAGAGCCCTTCCCTTGGTCAGGGGAAGCTGCCACTGGCCTTAGGGCAGAGGCCCCCATTCCAGCCACCGGTACGTGCCCAGGGCAACCTGTCTGCCTGCCCCTTCCCTGCTGCTGGGTGTCACTCTGTCCGTCTGCCTCTGTGGCTCAGAGGCCCAGGGTTGGAGTGACTCTCCCCACCCCACTCCCAGCCCGATCCAGCTCTCTGGGCCCATGTTCACGGCCTGAGATGGTCCTGCCCTTGCCCCTATCACTGTCTGTGGCAGCCCCAGCCTCCAGGGAATGTCGAATTTGGGCATGTGAGGCCGAGAGGGTTCCTGCAGCCTGTGGGGGACAGGACAGGACACCTAAGCCCATTCGTGACCTCAGACTCCATGTTAAGCCTTGTTGCTGCCGCTCTTTGAGTCAAAACAGCCGTAGGGTCACCCCCCCCCCCAGCCAATCCCCGCTATCATCCTTCAACCTGGATCTCATCCACAAGACCCCAGACCCCCCCATGTCCCAGTTGCCAGGGGCCAGAGGACAGCCTGGCAGGGGCCCCTCCCCCAGTTTCTCTGGTGCTGTGGGAGGCAGAGAAGCTGGTCCATGGTCCCTGTGGGCCACCCGTTCCATCCACTCCATCCCCCAGCCCCCCAGGCATCTGCTCTGGGCACATTGTTTGGCCTTCCAGTCACTGAGTGAACAAGACCTCTTTTCTGACAACTAGCATTTTCTATGGCTTGTGGAGGTGAAGGAGAGGCCATTCCTGATCCCTGGCCTGAGAGCAGGGATAGTGTGGTGGTTGAATTCTGCCCCGAGGATACTCCCAGTCCTAATCCTCATACTTGGGCATGTGACCTTATTTGGAAATAGGTCTTTGCAGAAGTTATTTAATTAAGGATCTCTAGATGAGATCATCTGGGATTTAGAGTGGGCCCTGAATCCCATGACTGGTGTCTTGCTAAGAGAAAAGGGAGACCCTGGCTGGTGAGGCTCAGTTGGTTGGGCGTTGGTCCGTGCACCTCAAGGTTGCTGGTTCAATCAGGACGTGTGCCAGGGCTGCGGCTCTATCCCTGAGGGGGAGGGGTGTGTGCAGGAGGTAGCCTATTGATGCTTTGCTCTCCCATCGATGTTTTTCTCTCTAAAAATAAATATAAATAAAAATAAAAATTTTTAAAAAAGAGAGAGAGATCACAGACATTGAGACCCAGCAGGGAGGAGACTGGAATTAGGAGGTGGCAGGCCCAGGGATGCCAAAGGTGGCCAGTCACCACCGGAAGCTGAGAAAGGCCCGGAGAGAGTCTACCTCAGGCCTCCTCTGGAGGAAACCAATGCTGCCCACACCTTGATTTCGGGCTTCCGGCCTCCAGAACTGTGAGAGAATAAATGTCTGTTGTTCTAAGCTGCCAGGTTTGTGGTCACTGGTTACAGCAGCCCAGGAGCCTAAGACAGATGTCCCGAGCCTCTGCCAAAGGTGCTGAGCAGAGAGCCATGGCGGCCTGGGGCACCGTGGCCCTGGCACGGGGGTTAGACGAGGCTTCGCAGCCAAGGTCATACTTCATGGGCCTGTAACCTCGCCAAGAAGAGATAAGGACAGGGTAGGACCTCATAGGCCAGGGCCTAAGGCAGGACCATTTGGCGTGTTGAGTGCCCAGCTAACTGGCTGGCGGGGCCTCAGCCCAGGAAGGGAGGGGGTTGTGGCAGGAGCCTAGAAGGGTGAATGGAATGGGCCCAAGGGCTGAAGGCTTTGAATGTCAGGGTTGGAGCAAAGAGAAGAGAGGTAGAAAGGTTCTGGATGGTTTCCTGGCTCCTGGAAAGCCTGCAGGGAAAAAAGCAAGAAGGGGCAATCCAGGGGGGCCTCTGAGAAGCTCCAGGGAGGCAGATATCAGCTCAGCATAAATAAGAACTTTCTCATGGTCAGTCCCTCCCCCGCAACTGAGAGCGTCCTTGAGAGGTAATGAGCTCCCCACCAAGGGAGGTGTGTAAACAAGAGTGCCTGCCTGGCAGAGACCTCAGCCCCAGATTAATGTTTGTTGTGGGTGGTCCCAAAGACCCTCTCTATCCTAACACCCTCCATGTTGCCCGGCTGGGCCCCTCTCAGCAGCCAGCTTTGGACTTCTGCCTTTCCCGCTCCAGGGGTCAATTACACAGAATTACTCTGACTCAAGCCACCCACACCCCCTTTCCTGCCAGGCTCCAGAGCCTGTCACCTGTGAAGACATGGGTGCCATCCCTTGAGGCCCAGAACTCAAAAATAGCAGGTCGATTCTTGCCTCTTTCCCCAAAGGAAAGGCTTCAAACCTCCTGGGCTTCAAAACCCCCAAATATCTCCCAAGTGCCTCCTCCCCTCAGGGGAACAATCACTGCAGCTTTTAGTGTGTGGGTACCTGATGCTAAGTATCTCCATCTGTTAACCTCCACAGCCCTCAGAGGCAGCAAGGGGGTAAGAGCACCAAAGTCGCTGTGTGACCTTGGACAAGTTACTTACCTTCTCTGTGTTCAGCTTCCTCAAACTGCAAGCCAGAGCTCTTTAACGACAGTCCAGGACCTGCCTCCACCTCAGGTTGGCAAGAGCCTACAATGTCTGATACCTGGGGGAAATGATGGCCTTCAAAAATAGGAAAGGAAAAGAAAATATAAGCTAATAATTGCCCATGCACAGTTATTTTGTCAACTAGTAAACTGCTTCTCAACCAAGCGTGATAAACAATTCTACTTATTTACTGTAAAAGGTGGACTCATTTCTGTGAAGTGTGACAATGTCTGATACCTGGGGGAAATGATGGCCTTCAAAAATAGGAAAGGAAAAGAAAATATAAGTTAATAATTGCCCATGCACAGTTATTTTGTCAACTAGTAAACTGCTTCTCAACCAAGCGTGGTAAAGAATTCTACTTATTTATTGTAAAAGGTGGACTCATTTCTGTGAAGTGTTATGGGGTGAGGCCTTCAGTAGTGGGAAGGACCCAGGGCCTAGGAGAGTCTTAAATGGCCCTGGCCCTCGAATTCTTTCCCCTCTTCCCCAGGCCTGGAATTCCCTTGGCTTAGCCTTTTCCAAGGCGTGAGCACCATTGCCAATAGGTCCCTGTTAAAATAGGGCAGAATACATCTCCGAACCCTCCCCAGACCCTGAGCCACACCTGAGGCGGCCCTCCCTCAGGGCACCCAGGGGGAGGTGTCAGGACCTCATGGGCACGAGCAGGATGCATGGCAGCCACAGAAAGCATTCGGAGGTGGTGGCAGGTGTCACCAGCAGGGAGCTGGGCAGTCAGCTGACACAGCCGGAACAATCATAGCAAGACAGAGGGGCATGAGCTCAGGGCTTGGCACACAGCCCAAGAAGAGCCGGGGGACTGGCGGGTGGGTGGGGCTTGGAACTGCCCACCTCCAGCTCAATCACAAGGCCGGCTGTCTGGACACGCATCCCCCGCTTGGCTCTAACCTGTCCTGCCCACCCCTCTGGGCCCGCACATCAGAGCTGGAGCCTGGATTTGGGCAAGGTTGCGCTCGCTCCAGAAATCATGCCATACCCTCCCCCTCACGGGAGCCCAGGATAGAGTTGGCACGGATGTGTCCACGGGGGAGGCATGAATGAGTGAAGATTCTTCTTCAGGGTAATTCTTAGGACTCTTCTATTTCTTTCTCTAGCCTGGGAGGTGGCAAAGTATTTTCTCTAAATGTCTCGGTAAGCCAGAAATCACAGGTCAGATATTCTCATTGTATTTTCTCACCTATCACTCAGCCTCTCGTCTACCCTTCACCATCTGTCAGGCCACACACTTTAAGCTTCAAACACTTGCCCTACTAACTATTCCCCAACACACCAAGCTCTTTCTTACCTCTAAGCTTTTCCTCAATGCCATTCCTTTTGCTTGGAATGTCCTCAGTCTGCTGCTCTCCATACAAACTCCTCTTCATCCTTCAAAACCCTCTCCTGTGAAGCCTTCCATAATTGCTCCACCAAGTCAGTCACTCTCCTCTCCCACAGTACCTGGACTCTCCCTCTAGTACATCACGTACATCACAGTGTGTGTCCTGGAATTACTTGTTTCTGTGCCTGTCCCTACTGGGTGCTGGCCAATTGAAGTGTGGATACCATGTCTTATTAATCCCCCGATCCTTTAGGTGCTTTATCGATATTTGAAAATTGAAATCTCAGATTTCTGAAGGCCTTCAGTGCCAGGCGCAGTTCTCAGTGCATTACGTGTATTGACTCATTTAACCTTTCAACACGCCCACTTTACACATTCAGCAGCTGCGGTTAAGGAATGTGGCCAACAAGATATGGAAATAACCTAAGTGTCTGTCGACAAGTGAATGGATAAGAAAATGCAGTATATACAGGGGTGGGCAAAAGTAGGTTTACAGTTGTGAGTATGAGAAAGTTTATTCTTGTGTTTTAATTTATTTATTATTGTACTAGAGGCCCGGTGCACGAAATTCCTGCACTTGGGGGGGGGGGGGGTCCCTCAGCCCAGCCTGCGCCCTCTCGCAGTCCAGGAGCCTTTGGGGGATGTCCGACAGCTGGCTTAGGCCTGGGAGCGGGCCACAGAGGTGGGAGAGGCTACCGCCACTGTGCTTGCCAGCCGTGAGCCCAGCTTCTGGCTGAGCGACACTCCCCCTAAGGCAGCGGTTCTCAACCTGTGGGTTGCGACCCCTTTGGGGGTTGAATGACCCTTTCACAGGGGTCGCCTAAGACCATCAGAAAACACATATATAATTACATATTGTTTTTGTGATTAATCACTATGCTTTAATTATGTTCAATTTGTAACAATGAAATTAGGGGTCACCACAATAGGAGGAACTGTATTAAAGGGTCGCGGCATTAGGAAGGTTGAGAACCACTAGGGAGTGCACTGACCACCAGGGGGCAGCTCCTGCATTGAGCGTCTGCCCCCTAGTGGTCAGTGTGTGTCATAGTGACCAGTTGTTCCTGGTCGTTTCACCATTTGGTTGATTTACATATTAGGCTTTTATTATATATGATGATTACTTATTATCATTATTAACCTACTTTTGTCCTTCTCTGTATATACAATGGAATATTATTCAGCCACAAGAAAGGAAGAAATCCTGCCATTCATGACAACATGGATAAACCTTGAGGAAATTATGCCAAGTGAAATAAATCAGGTAAAGACAGATATTATATGATCTCATTTATATGTGGAGTTGAAATAGCTGAGCTCATAGAAACAGGGAGTAGAGTGATGGTTGCCAGGGCTGGGGGAAATGAGGAGATGTTGGTCAAAGGGTACAAGCTTCTAGGTATAAACGAATATGTTCTGGGAATCTAATGTGCAACATAGTGATTATAGCTAATAAGATTGTATTATACACTTGAAAGTTGCTACAAGAGTAGATGATGTGGCTCAATGGTTTAGCATTGACCTATGACCCAGAGGTCAGGGTTTGATTCATGGTCAGGGCACACGCCCAGGTTTCGGGCTCAGTCCCCAGTAGGGAGCATGCAGGAGGCAGCCAATCTATGATGCTCTCTCATCACTGATGTTTCTCTCTCTCTCTCCCTCTCTGAAATCATTAAAAAAAAATTTTTTTTTAAAGAGTAGATCTTAAAAAAGAAATGGTACTTATGTGACATGATGGAAGTATTAACTAAGGCTATGGTGGTAATCATTTTGTAACATGCATTGTACACATTAAACTTAACAGTGTTAGCCCTGGCCGGCTTGGCTGAGTGGATAGAGTGCCAGCCTGTGGATTGAAGGGTCCTGGGTTCGATTCCGGCCAAGGGCACATGCCTGGGTTGCGGACTTGATCCCCAGTGGGGGGCGTGCAGGAGGCAGCCAATCAATGATTCTCTCTCATCATTGATGCTTCTCTCTCTCCTTCTCCCTTCCTCTCTGAAATCAATAAAGAAATATATTAAAACAAACAAACAAACAAAAACAGTGTTATATGTTAATTATATCTCCATAAATCTGGAGGAGGGGCAAGAGTTGTTTTTAAAGAAAGAGTGGTTTTTGACAAATTACAAATGAGACCTGATAAGGGAGTTCATGTATTCATGCTCCTTCCATTTGATTGAACTTAAGTGTGGCTTCTACTTTCATCTAGTCAAAGGATAAATCAAATGATTTCCCACTGAAAAGAAACAAAGAGAAAGGAAAGGGAGGAAGGAAGGGTGGATGGAAGGAGGAGAAATATGGCCAAGAACAAACACGAGCAGATGGCAGAGGTGAAATGCAAACGAATGAGAAACATTTGAAGAATTGATGAATGGTTTCCGGTGAGAACGCTCTTCCTGGCTTGTGGATGACCGGCTTCTCACTGGGTCCTCACAGCCTTTTTCCTTTGTGGGAGCGTTTCTCTCCCTGCCCCTTCCCCTCTCCTTCGGGGCAGATCAGAGCTCCGAGGGTCTAGGTGAGGTTCCAGCACCAGGAAAGGAGCACCTGGTCCCCACCCCTTCTGTGTCCTCCTCCTGAGGGAGGCTCGCCCCTCAGCTCTAGTTCATTGGCTTCTGTCCAGTGTTGGCTGTTGCTGACCAGGGCCTGACCAGGCCTCTGTCGCCAGATCAACAGGCCACAGCGGGCCCTTTCCGGATCCCTGCCTCTGGGCCTGCACTAGTGCCCTTAGGGAGCCCAGGAAACGTTGGAAGCGCCTCCATCAACACGGGGTGCAGAGGGCAGGCCTCTTACCTGCCTGTGTTCACCTCAGGCCTGGCTGAGATGCTCGCCCAGCTTTTCTGGGAGGCCAGGGCCTGGGGAGGGGAGCAGGCAGAGTGGATGGGGTATTGAGGCTCGTCTCAGGCTTCCCCAGCAAAGGTTAACGTTCACCTTAATGAGCCCTGTCCTCTGTTCTCAGGCCTCGGACAACACACCTCTGACTTGTCAGATAGTTTTCTTCTCCAGATGCCTCAGGGCGCCACCACCTGCACCGGAGCACAGGCCACGGAGCACAGACCACGAACTCCTCGTGTTCTCTCGCTGCCCGCAGCCATCTCCACGCGCCGTGGATGTGAAATGTTAGCCATCTCGCACTCACCGATGGCAAAGAAGTATGTCTCTCTCCCTTCATCTTTTATCTAATTGTAGGCATGTCCCCTCTTTGCTTTCTCCTGCCCGTCAGTCTACCACGAGTGGGTTTCAGGCGACCCTCCTCATGTTTTCTCCTTGGATGAAATGTACAAAATGAGCTGCAAGACTGCCATTCTCCAGAGTTTTTTCTCACTCCGTTGAGATCTTGCTTCTGGCAAGTCTTCAAGAATTTGGCCCGAAGTCTTATAAAAGTTTTCTATAGGTTTGGGTTTTCTTTCATCAACACCACAGGCCCGTGAGCACCATAAGCACAGCTAACAGACAAGTGACGGGGGAACAGAAGAGAAACCGGGCAGTGGAGAAGCCTGACAAGTTCACAGCCAGGTGACTGAGGCAGCGCCAACAGTGACAAGGGATAGGACAACACCGAGACTTTATCTCTGTGGTCTTCCCCCCAAAACTCACCACTCCTGTGAGTTAAGTCAAAACGCATAATTCTTAAGTTACGATCTTCTGTTCCCCAAAATCAATGGCTTGATTTCTGTAGTATCACTGTCCTGGGAACCAAATCAAGCCTGTGTTTCAAGAGGCCAGGCAAGCCGGCTCTAAGTGGCAAAAATGACAGCAAAACATGTACGCACACACACAAATCAGACACTGAAAAATGGGTTTACCTTTGGAGCGTAGAGAGTGAAGGGGCTTCCACTGGGTCTGTGTGGAAGAGTATTGTTTTGATTCTGGGGTTGTTTTTGTTTCTCCATTTATTCTCCTCTGTCCAGCCTGCCCGCACCCTCTCCGCACACTCACTGGCCAGGGACGGGCCTGGCTTCCACGCTGGCCCCTAGGAGGGTGGATACAGGGGAACAAAGAAGTCAGTGCTTCAGCTTTGGATCACACACAAAGCTTTTCAAAGCCCACAACGCAAACAGCCGCTTTGAGAACAAGCTTCCCTGGGTAGGAGCTTTCGCGGGGCTTTCTGAGGGGGAAGAGGTTAGTGAGAAATGAAGGGCTGCGGCCTTGGAGGGCTCCTCGCAGAACGTTTCCAGCAACTGCCTGGGAAGGGAAGGAGGTGTGGGAGGAGGCGGGCACCCTGCTCTGCGTCCAGCAGGTGGGAAGAGCTTGTGATCAGAACTTGTGATCAGACCGCCCTGTGTGCGGCCTGCGGTCCCTGAGCTCTCCGTGTATTTCATTCACAGCAGTGAGCACTCCTGGCCCGCCTCACCCCAGGCTC